ATAAGCTGTCATTTAAGTTCACTGTTCTCATCGGATTTAGTTCCACTCCATACCCGTTTTTGCAGATATTTTAGCGTGTTTGCATTCATTCAAGACGCATACCACTAAGTCACCGATCACCGACCAAGCATGTGTTTTGGGCGTAGGCGTGGTAGTGGGGAATACTACCAACTTTTTAATGTGCTGTCATTATTTGTGGCCTTGACACTTCAACGTTTAGAGCACTCATTGTGGAACATCTTGATAACTATTTTCACTGAAGTCCCCTTCATTTTAGATTTCCCTAGTAATTTCTAAAAAAAACCTTTATGCAATCATCCGCCCATAATTTCTTCGTAGATTCTTTTTCGTTTTGTACGTTATTCTCTGGATTATTTCATGAATATAGCGCAAGGCTTCCTTTTCAGAAATGGCGGATGTTGTGCCGTCCGCGGCACGCGGTTCCACCCTATTTCAGGAGTCGGCGGCTGGGTCGGTTAATTGTTTTGCTGTGCAACTGCGTAAAAATGATCTTTTCTTCTGGGGGCTTATTTCGCAATCTTCATATTTTTAGATCATGCGAGTCTCTGCCCAAGGAGGTGACAGAACTTGCAGAAAAATATCAGTTTTCAATTAATCACGATCGGAGTATTCAGAAAGAGGTCGTTGATTGTTGTTTTTATTAGCTAAGCTCCATTTCTTCAATTTAGGTGATTGAGTTGAAAAAGTTCATTCGAACTGCAGTCAAGAAGCAAATGAAAATCAAAGCTGGATATGTGCAAATGCAGGTGCGGTTCTTCTTTAGAATTTAGCGACATTTCTTATAACTCTTTTCATATTTGTCTTGTAGAAAGCCACTAATGCGAAAAAGCAGGCCGATAATTTGAAAAGAGAGGTACGTGATCTCAGTGACCAAATAAGCGACATGCAGGAAGATCTCCAAATTTTGGATGTGTACGATACGGGTGCCTTTGGTCAGTTGCTTGCATTCTTCACTATTCAACCCAACTTTTCTTTACTTTGAATTTTTCGCTTTTTCTCCTTTAGTTGTGCTGGAGAAAAGCACGGTGATGAGTCAGAGAACTCGAGCCTGTCGTTTCGTTATCATCATGTTCGCTGCTTTTCTTGCATCCCTCCCATGCTTTACCTTTCCTATCACTGTCTATTGAGTATCAATCATTACTGTAAGACTAGAATCATACCCTTGGCAGCAGTCGGTGTTGTTTCAATTATGGGTAAGAAACGTAGCGATTAGCTGATAACATTCTTAAATTGTGCAATAGTATCCGTTTTTGTGCGATTTTCACAATTGGTTTGTATTAAAAATCTGAGATTTCTCCCTGAATGTCATCAAGCTCAATCTACCAGTTATTGCTCGAAGTCATTATAGTTCAAAAAGACGGGAAATTTTTTTTAGAAAACAAAGACAAAAACTCACCTTTTTGGGCATTATGGGCCTTGGTTAAAGTTTTCTGAGGTTCTGGCAATTAAATTCTCAAGTAACAGTGCAGCTTCCAAGTTGACATCTCTTAACACAAGATATTCTTCATTGATTTTTATAAAAGGATGTTATGCAGTTTTGTTTGGAAAGATACTTTGTGGTTTACACTCTAAATGGTCGCTTCAACTAAATTCTACTAGCCAAGAGCTCGTGCTTGTGCGATTTCTTTCGTTCACTGTTCCATCAGATATCCTCTTTCCCGTACTGGGGACAATCATCTGCAGATTGTCGTAAAAACCTTCAAATCGCTTGCTCCGCTTCTCGACATATAAGTGAAAAAATGAAAGATGCAGTAGTTTTTGCAAATGTAGGTAACATTGAACGCCATCAATCACGGTGATAACTTTGAAGCATGACAAAAGCGACGACAGCTTTGCAATAATTTCTATGTTTGAAGTCGTAATGAGTGATTATTCTCTGATTGCTAACAACCAAAACGTCAATTAAAGACTGGCTTCCACATCACACAGTATTCATGCATATTTCCTTCTAAAAAAGTGGTTTGACATACGATCATCCTGTATCATCCAACCTCCTTAATTCTTCAATTATTTGCATTTTTGAAGGTGGGGATGAAACTTGTAGTCTTTTACTTTCCTTTGTTATAATCGAAAATTCATTCTTCTCAAGTGAAAAGTAGTAAAACTAAAGTGTCGGATCAATTGTTTATGTTGCAAAGACTTTGAGCCACTCATGTGATTTTGAAGTTAACGATGTTATCGAGTGTGTACATTTTGAGCTCATATCTGAGAGGAACAGCGCAAACATGATCAAGCTTGTCATCGCTGTAAATTTTTCCTGTTTGGGTAATTCCCCTATGTCAGGAGTTTGTATGCAGAACTATCAGGCTAAAGCATTAGAAATAAATGTGTAGTCATATGGAGGAATTTTGCTAGTAGTAGCAATTAAGACGTTACCGATTCCCATCTTCTGTGGAATTAACCGCAATTCAGTACATTGTAGTCTCTCCAAGAATCATTTGAAACTTACATTACAGTTTATTAATTCACCTCAAGATCTTGAAGAAGGATGAGTGGTGCATAATTATGGAACTGATTGGTTGGCCATTCTATACTGGCTCGTGATAAATTTTTTCAGTAACTACGTATATTTTTGCACGCACATATATTCTAGACGCCCAGCTTCAATATCTTAAACCTATAGAGCGGCGATTATGGAAGGTGAACATGCTCTCATAATTGGCATTAAGTGCTGTCCTATTTCGTTCCCCTAAATTAGGCTAGGGTAACTCTGTCGGGAAAACTTAAAGTGCCTGATGTTTTACTGTTGAGCTAAATTCACTCTTATCCATCGTTTTGGATTTTCCAAACACAAAGGATGTTTCATTCAAGTAATTCATCAACAGTCTAGATGTGTATAGCAGTTAAGTCCCATACTTTGATGACTATCACTCATGAAAACCTCCGTGGTTCATATCTCGGAAAAATATAAAGAAGTCGATA